TATAATAGAATTGTTTTTTTAAAATTTACCTGGCAAATATTTTTGGTGAGCTAGTTTGTCCTCGTGGACAAACGTATTACAATGGTTGCGTTAGGCCGTCTAGTCACTCCAAGATTTGGACCAGGACGGGATCTTTAAGCTCGAGAACGTATTTTTTACTAAATTTTGTTCTAGAGTTCTCCTTCTGTTGAAAGGCAATGGCTTAGTGGTATGAACTCGCTTTTACAAAAATAGTTACCATCAGCTCGCTAAACTCTCCAGCAAACGATGTCGACACTGTCAGGCCGTGTTTAAGGATGTCCCAGTCGGTCATTGCAACCAGATCTGTCAGGATGTTGTAGCGTGTGATAATGCGCGTTGGTTGAACAATGAACAATGCTTTATCACGGGATAAAAGCAAACACTTAACACTTCCCGTAGGATGGTTGGGGTGAATGTGATGAAATCAAAATATATTTTGCCAACTACCGAGCGTCTACCGAGGTGAATGCGTTAATAACTGACGTCAGTGTAAAATAAAAATTGAGTTTAGGCATACGGATATACACGGGGTCCAATGGCTGCTGATTTAAGTTGTGGAAAAACTAAAATAGGGCCGCTCACTTATGCGCCGCCTTCTTCGGTCCATATGATACATAAATCCTTTAGAAGGGCATGATCGGTGTAATCCACAATAGGATAATCTGGGTAACAAAGTGCTGGGAGCTAAGAGCAACATCCAACCGTTTTTTTGAAAATGTCTGAAGTAGGGGAGGATACAAGTGAGTCGAGGAGTGCGTTCCAGGGTTGGTAAACCCGAAGGGAAAAGTAATTACGTCGACACTCTAGACAGCTATATTGTTCCCTCAATTTTAAGCAGTTACCCCTGAGCTGCGTGTTGTGGCTAAGTTTCAGCAAATAACGCCATACGTGGTTGGGGTCACTCAATAGTTGGTACGTTAACATGAGAGTTCGGCGCAGCCTTCGGTAGCGTCCGCTCTAAACTCCCAGCAACATCAACCTTTGGTGGTAAGAGTGATAGAGCAGACCGTTTGCATTCTTCGTTGCTCTTGGTTGTGGTGCCTCTGCATTAGAGGTCGCACTTCAACTAAGTTTGCCAAGCTTGGTTAGCGTATTCAACGTGTGGGCACGTGCTGGTATTGTGCAGCATTGGGAAGATTGATGGGTCAAATCTCCCGAATGCTCTTCGCAGCGTGCCGATGTACTGGTTGGATCTTTTCGAAACTACCTCAGCCTGTTTTGAACTGTTGTGGTCACTCTGTACGATCACCCCAAGGTCACGTTCCTGGGAGCCGGTCTGCAATCCGTGGTTCAGTGTGATCATCCGAGTATTCAGCATGACACATAATTGTATGGCAACATTGTCGCTTAGTCACAGTGCGGCATCCATCAGTGGCATGTCGATACACATCTATAAGTACAAAGTGCAGTTCGGATGATTTGTTATCACCTGTATACGTGGTGGGTGACGCGATGTGATTATGAGGCAAAAGCTACCTTGCCAGTCATTTTGCTGGCATAAATGTGCAGTGTTGACGCTAAAGGCATCCATACATCAACACCATCGTCACTAAACGCACCAGTCTTAAGCTCTACCTTGAAAGTGCATTAAACGGAAGTTCATACACCGAAACTAGCAGTGGAGTGTAAAGGTAGACCTGCGCGATGACGTACAAATTAGGAGCACCAGCTGTATACTACAAAACGTTAACAAGGTTACTTTCAATGATGGGCAGTGTATTTTGCCGGTTATTTTTGTCACAGTGACGGATAATAATGATTTCGGCGCAAAATAAGGGTCAATTCAGTTCTACCTAATTTAGCAACTGCGATATCTTTCAACAAGTGGGATTATACTTTAGTGATAGTATGTTTCATAGCTAAAGTCAATTTGACTGTTGTGAAGTCGACGGTATTGTAATGAAGTGAATTCAAGCAGATTACAACAAAGTGACTTAGGTTAGCATACACTTACACTTGACTTCACTTCAAGCTCTCATTTGGAACAGATATTTGGAAAGGCACAAATCAAGGGGTATGGATCTACATACGACAGCTGACCAAAATACAATTCGTAGAGTCATACGATAAAGAGGTTACAATGATAAAGGAAAAGAGAAAAATGGAGTCAGAGGTGGGAACTCAGGCAACGTGTCGGTTAGTGGATGCGATCACGGCCAAATCCAGCAGTGTTGCCAACCAGCTGTAATCGCGGTCCTTGGACCCCAACACGAGAGTCGCGAACCTCTTTCTACGGCAAACTCAAGCTCAACTCCTGACATCCTGGTTCTAAGTTGTGCGTCAACCGCTTTTATGTCTCTTCCCACCAACTGGCTCGCGCAAAGTTATCTCTGGGGGGGGGGCAGCAGCCAAGCTGGCATGCGTAGCAAGTTCCAAAGCAGCTGAGGCTTGTGAACGGAAACTGTTCAACTCAGCAGTCAACAGAGTCCTGCCGAATTAAAAATCCCACGACGAACGTCTGCATTAACAACGCAATGCAACCACTGTGTGCTAAAGACACACAATGGAAAAGTGAGCGCAAGAAAACTGCATAAAGTAGTATCACGTTTTCATTTACCTCAGTGCACGCGTTTTGTCACGAGCACTTTGTGCACCGTTACACCAGGGCAGTAAGAGAGTGGAAGATATGGTAGAAATAGACCCTTTTCCAACTGATAAGGTTTTATTCACGGTGTAGCAGTGGACCCACCTTCATATATCGTGGTTATACCCACTTCCACTTTGGATATACCCCTAACCTTATTCGCTGGCAATTCTTTGTTTAGTGGAATGCAAAAAACCCCTTGATTTACATGTTCTCAAAGTCCGTGGTTGCTTGTTCTACACAAGTTCTTGACGAATAAGCTAGTTCATGTTGTTTCCATTGACACAGTCTTAACTATGTTACATTTAAGGGAACGTTAGGTACCCTTATAGTGTTCGAAGTAAAAACTAGTTTGCGGAACATAACAAGCCTAAATCTCAGGTTGCTTATTCTGTCTGACAAGAAGGGTTCCATTTTCATCTCACAGTAACAATAGTACGCAAGTTTCCCGTATTTCTTCATAAATGAAGTCAAGACAATATAAGCTTTAAGTACCCGAGTGGGTGCATTATCAACATTTTATCATAACTACCGTGGCGCATTTCCGAACTAGGCTCTGCTATATAGCTTGTGAACTGTTGGGATGAAAGCCTTATCAGATTTACAACAAAAATCCTGCTACTAATGAGTACTATAAAATCAAAAACCTCTCCTAGTTTCAAATGCTATAGATATAGCGTCTAGTGAGAGGACGTCATCAACTTGCAGGCTAACCACTGTCAGTGACAGTGGTAGATAGGTGGTGCTATATCCCAGCTAGTTTGCAAATTATGTAGCCCAGCCAACGTCCCCAATGGCTCAGTGACTTAAGCTGCTGGCTAGTTGGCATCTGCCTCTAGCGGTCATGGGTTCGATCCTCCTTAGAGGCCTGAGGGCATGCGCGCCACTGACGAGCCCCAATAAGGCGAAACGCGTCTGGCGCTATTCTGGACTAGGCTCTGCTATGTAGCTTGTGAACTGTTGGGATGAAAGCCTTATCAGATTTACAACTAAAATAGAAACGTACATAATGCAGATGGTATAGATGGAAACATGATATGGTGCACAAACTTCACCCGAATAAACGGTTTTCTATGTGCAGGTAATAATTTCTGTTGAGAAAGCTAACCATTGGCATTTGCTTCCTGTTGAGTGTAAGGTGTCGTGGAGCCATTTGTCAATCGAAGCCATGATTCTTCAAGTTACCGAAACGTCTTTTGTTAAGTTTCGTGTATCACGCGTAGTAACTCTAAGTTCGTTTTCAAAAACTCAACATAGTGTAGCACTAGTGACTTGGTGGAAACTATTGAATCCCGCTAGCTAAGGTATAAACCATGTTCCAATGAAAACGTAACGGCCGATTTGAAGGCTTAGTTTTGTGAAGGAACTCTGTGCGTTTTCTGTTGCAGTCATTATCATCTTTCCTCATGCTGGATCACTCCAACGAGCAAGTTTCTGACAAATGACGAATACGAGTTTTAAGGAGACAATTTTGGACTAAGGACTCTAGTATTAGTCGTTCCAGTCTATGGACTCTTGCAACTGTACACTGAACCAGTTTGGTGAAGTTGAAGAAGCTCGGGTAATGCATCATCACGTCATCCAGTCGTTGAAATAATTCATTCTGTGTGGTGCCCATTATGATTATGTTATCCAGATAGGCTGCAGTTCCAGTTACTCCAGTCAACATGGCATCCATGACTTGCTGAAAATTTGCGGGTGCGAATTTAACTCCAAATGGCACACGACTATATTGGTACAGACCGCGATGAGTGTTGATCGTGAGAAGCTTACTACATTCACGTTTAACTTCTAGCTGTAAATAAGCATCCGCCAGATTCAAGGTAGCAAAATATTTACCATCATTCAGCTTCGCGAACAGGTCGTCAGGAAGTGGAAGTGGATGTTGATGGGGTTGCAATGCATCATTCAGATGAGTTGAAAAATCTGCACACAAGCGAATAGAACCGTTCGACTTCTTAACCACGACGACTGGAGCAGCACAAGGTGAGAAATTTGTCGGTTGAGTCACCCCATGTTGCTGCAATCGGTCAAGTTCATGTTCAACAAGTAATTATGATGCATAAGGAACCGGGCACCTGGGTCGAAACACTGGTGTAGCATCAGGTAACAGAGTAAGTTTTTCCTGCATCGCTACAATGTCTAAGTTCAGGTTGGAAATCACAAGCACCCTTCGCCTGAAGCTCTCCAGCAATGGTTTGACTTGAGCGACGTGGTGCGGCTGTATGAAGCACCATGACGTTTGTTTCAGAATACATATGATTCAATGATACATTGAACAAATGCAATCTTTCAATTCAATCAATCCCAAGAAGATTAATGTCGACATAAGAAACTAAACAGATGGGTCCACGGAGGTTCAGATACTCGAAGTTAATTTCACAAGTAAACTCACCATCTAACCTCAGTGGTTAGCCGGATGCATTTTTGGGCGATCACATTTGCGTGGCTCAGTGGAGGTTTGCCAAGTCTCATGCATGACGATCGAGAAATGGTGGTAATGTCAGATGCCGTATCCAGTTGCACGGATATATCGACATCGTTAGTTTTGACGGTGAGGTACTTTCGCTTGCCCGCAAATTCCGTGCGACAGATCGCGAGAACTACTTTTGTCTTCGCTCCCAGAAACGACGTATTTTTGAGTTAGAGTTCGTGTACAATTTTGGAGTAGACACAGTCCTAGAACCGTGCAATGTGAGACAGAGTGATTCCTTTGTGACCCAGACGTTTGCACTCCTGACAGAGACGCTTTTGTAAGTAGAATCGCACGAAATGCCATCCACCACAGTTTTATCATGATGCCGGGGGTTTCTGGTTGGGTACTGCATGGCTCACATTTTTACCTCGAACAGCCGTGGGGTGAATTTGCGGTTCACACCTGGGGTCCGCGTTTTCAATCATTTTGGTATCATGCTTTAAGTTAATCAGTCTCTGGCATTCAGCAGCCATGTCCTGTAATGTAAAATGGTGTACCTGCTCTAACCTGTGTAGGATGCGTGTGAGTACATCAGCATCGGCATGAAACTGAAGACTACAAAGAAAGTGGTGACTTTTGGACTGATCTGGTGTCATGGTATCCAGTTTGAAACCTTCACACTCTCGGTTCACAACTCCAGCATGTCATCAAATCATGGCTATCACCTTTGAGCAACTTTAGACAATTATAACGGATACTGAACAAAAATGCTTGCTCAGCGAAAATCGATGTCAGACTTTCCAGTCTCATGGTAGCAGAACTCTCTTGGATTCTTCGGCAGCACAAAATTTGTCTAGCGCTCATGTTCGACTGCACCGAGTTTACACGGCAACAACGGAACCTTCCATGCATCGGCTTACGCCGCCAATTCAACACGAAACATATCTACATATTACTTAAACAAGAAATCAAGTTACTCCACTCGAGTCATCGAAAACGAACTATGTGCTTGCTGCTGTGACTGCGTCTACTGAAGTCCATGTGCCAGCACCTTGGGGCTCAGGTTAAACGTTCAGCTTCTGTGCAAATAACTCGAGCAATTGCTTCTGGGATTTCTCGAACTGTAGCTGCCGTTAATGGAGTAGCAATACACCTGAACAAATGAAATAGCCGTTAGTGTCCAACACCGTCACCAAAATCTGTTATTTCCTAAGCGTTACGACTTTGCAGCTTCCTATGTTGCGCCTCGAGAAACAATAGTCCAGTCTCCGGAAGAGTAGTATGTTCGCGAACATAAAACAAGCCGACATGGGACAAATACACACTGATATAGTTCGAATCACAGTTGTGTGCTCGGTTGATTTTATTGGTCTCAAGTAATCAAGGGATGTGGGAGTGGCGTGAAACAAGCGACAGTAACAAATGTTCTGCGATACGGAATAACACTGGTTTGATCGTAGCTGAGGCTGTACTGATACAAAACACAGATATTTGTGGGAAATTGCGCACTTACCTTCCTGAACAAGTCAATTTGTTTCCGTGCTGGGCCCATTTGACTTTGATCTGGGTGGAATTCTGTTTTTCCATGCAAGTTCCATGATTTGGTCTGAATCAGTGACGCCAAATCGACTTGCTTCTCATACAGTGAAATTTTCCTAGGAGTATGTCGCTCGAGACCTAACACACACAAGTGGTCAAACACAACTCGTCAATATTATTGCGGAATGAATAGTCGAGGCTTTTCCGTTGGATATCTCACAGTAAATTCGAGAGTCCTCGTCGAGAATAGGCAGTTGAGAAAGTGTAATAGAAGGATTTGGTTTCAACTGCTCAAATCCAGGGTCTGTTTCTTTATGGGTAGCGATGTCTTCTAGCTTGATTGCTTGGCGCGAAACCTCGTGAAGACCAATGTCGAACAATACCTGGGCTACAACACTGTGAGCTGCATAAATGTGTCGAATACCGGCGGCAAACTTTCATATGTAATCCAACTGACGAATTTCTCGAGGTGAGAAGTGATCAGAGGAGCCACAAAAAACAAAGTAATGGGCTTATGATCCGTAAGGATGGTAAATGCACGTATTTTAGTGAGTCATTTGATCGGAGTTGAATAAGCTCATGATCATTGGCTTGTACGGCAGATATACGCGATAATGCATCAGCAACAGTGTTCTTGGGACTGTTAGTGTAACGGATGTCTACACAGTTGGGTATGAATCTGCCGTAGTATTTGACTATGCCGAGAAATCGGCGTAGCCTTCTGACAGATGCTGGCATGGAGTAGACTAGGATCGCTTGGGTCTCATCCGGAAGAGGTTTGATGCCATCACCATCGATCCTGTGACCCAGAAACTCAACGATGGACTCACCAACTGTGTCATAGTCTTCATATCGAGCAGTCCAATCTGCGTCAGCTTTCTTAAAGGGAGGGACAAAGAAAATCACAGCAGGAACGCCACTCTGATATGTTATTGCTCCTTTTGAATATGTTTACCCTCTCACTGGGATCGAGGCGCTTCCCAGACCAATGGAAAACGTCGTTTCTCATTCTTCGCCACGAGGGTGGCGTAAAAGAAAAGCTTGAAAATTACAGACCAAGCTGTCATGCTCCTATAAGCTCCAGATTATTCAAAAAATTGGTTAAAAAGTGTGTAATGAATTTCACCAACTCACTGGAGTAAAGAGACTAGTCCCAACATGGTTTACTTGACAAGCCTTCGTGCACAATCTGTTAGCTGCATTTGTTGCACTACTTATCAGATTTCATTAACTCGGAATATGCTATCTTAATACCATTCTTGTACATGCGAAAGGGTGCTTTATAGACGACTACTGGCAAAGGTGAACAATGAACAATGATTTATCACGGGTAAAATAGTATGTGCTTGACAAGTCCCGTAGGATGGATGGAGTAAAAATTTAAATTTGTAGCATCATCGAATAAGTAAATCGTGAGTTCAAACGTCCGCCGAGTTAACTGCACTATTGCATAACGATATCTTTAAGTGGGAATGGGATGTGCACACGCAAAATAATATAGAGAGCTGTTAAAGTTCAGTAAGTGCGTGAGAAATAAAAGAGGAAACGACAACGCTCACTCGTTTGTTAATTAATTTGACAGATGTGACAGGTTAATCCAGTTTAGCTACACCCAGGCTAATCACATGGACACTACTGCATGTATCCTCACCGCCACGTTGCGGAGGGCCGTTAGGCATATGGTTAGGTTTGCGTTGTTTCGTCCTCCAAGTGGAACGGACTATATCAAGTAATACAAGTTTGAAAGCGTTTCATCAAGGCGTTTTTTGAAAAGCGTTAATGTAGGGGCAAGGATAACGTGAGTCTGAAGGGCATTCCAGGCACGGGACACATGGAGGGAGAAAACGCTGCGTCGACAATCAAGTCGACTGCAGTGCGTAGGCCGTTTGAGCTGATGACCTCTCGGGTTGGTATTTTGGCTCAGCTGCAACACATTGCGACCTGGGTGACTTGGGTTCGTCAGTATTAAGCAAACCAGAATTAGATCTCCTCGCTGACGTCGATATTCACCACTGTACAATCTCAGTGACTGCAGTCTGTGTTGGTAGGAGAGATGGAACAATCCTCCAACGAGTTTGGTCGCTCTACGTTGTGGAGCTTCAAGTGCATCGACGTCGCGCCTGCGCCAGGAACGCCAGGCCTGGATCGCATATTCCACGTGAGGCCTCACGTAGGTGTTCAGCATTTGCGGTAAGATTGATGGCTCAAAACTGCCGGAAACCCTCCGTGAGAGTCCAAGATGTTGACTGGCTCTATTTGGTGCCTTTCAGCTTGTCTCGACCAACCAAGGTCGTCGTGCACGATCACTCTCAGGTCGTTTTCTTGGAAAGCATGTCGTAACTGCTGGTCCCCAAGTCGATATTCATAGATAAGCTGATGGCGTATGCTTACAACTTTGCACTTGGTCACGTTGAACTGGAGCCGGATGTCGGATGACCACGCATAAGTCCTGTCGAGATCGCTCTGCAATGCTATATGATCATCCGATGTCCTGATATCATGCCAAATGTTGATATCATCTGCAAATAGTAAGAAATTCGACTGTGCAGCCGACTCATACACAGAATCAGCTATAAATAACTCATCCCCATTTCTTGATTTCACGAGTACGGCAAAGGTTGTCCAGTTAAAGAAGTGAATCGGGCGCTAGACTACGAGGTCATCTGTTGTTACATAATAGGCAGTAGGTTGCTTTACATAAACCGAACAGTGTAATAAACTAATATCACTACCATAAAACCCATGGCGAACTGACACTCGGGTTGATGGAATGTCCAGAGTAAACATTAAGGCAAGAGTATACTATACCCGGGTTGGAGCAGTTACATGTTGTGTCCAGCCGTCCAAATTGATACGTGCTAATAGACTTGCATACGTCGTTGTTGCAGCAGGTGGGATTCACTTTAACTCAGGCAAGTTGAAAGTTGCTGCAACCAGTTTGTATTCGCACAAAACATTTGACGACTGCTCACAAGTAACCATACGTTTGTTGTCACTATTAGCTGAGGTCTCGTGTGGTCTGTACACACCAATATGACTCCGTCGATCCCAGGATAACAGCCATTATCCATACTGAGTCCATGATTACAGACAATTTTCCTTGGTTCGTATTTCTGATATAAATGGCGACTCACATCCCAAGTTTATGCACCTACTTTTTGCATGCAAATCTGGTAGACAGGAGGTGAGCATACCTTCCCTTTAGCATAAGGGGAAAACCATGTTTTCATAACAAATATTGCGTCTGGGTCGGCGAGGAAAAACATTGGAGGCGGGATGTGATTTTATTGTTTAGAGACTTAGCATTTATAAGTGTCATTGAGGAAGAACAATTAGAGTCTACTAGCTTAACCGATGAGACGGTGAAGCCATTGAGCAATGAACAATGGTTTATCAAGGGATAAAAGCAATGCTTGACACGTCCCGTAGGATGGTTGGGGTGAATATGATGAAATCAAAATATATCTGAGTCATCTACCGAACGTCTGCCTAGATGAATACTTCGATAAATTACATCAGTGTAAAATTAAAAATATCGAGCGTAAACGTTCAGAAAGACACTGGGGTGCAGTGTTCGTTGACGTAAGGCGTGAGGAAAGTAAAATATGGTCGGTCACTTGGGCTCATTTGATACATAAATCCTGTTGCAAATCATGATTGGCATAATCCACAATAGCGGAGTTTACGTAACAAAATGCTGGAAGCTAAGAGCAACATCTAATGGTTTTTTAAAAATGTTCAAGGTAGGAGAGGATACAACTGAGTCTTGGAATGCGTTCCAGGGTTGCCAAACCCGAAGGGAAAAGTAATTACGTCGACACTCTAGACGGCTATATTATTCCTTTAATTTCAAGCAGTTACCCCTGAGCTGCGTGTTGTGGCTAAGTTTCAGCAAACGACGGCATACGTGGTTGAGGTCACTCAATAATTGGTACGCTAATATGAGATCTCGGCGTAGCCTTCGGTAGCGTCCGCCATAAATTCCCAGCAACTCCAACCTTCGGTGATAAGAGTGTTAGAGCAGGCCGTTTGCATTCTTTGTTACGCTTGGTTGTGGTGCCTCTAATGCCTCTAGGTCGCGCTTCAACCAAGGTTGCCAAGCTTGGATAGCGTATTCAACATGCGGACGCACGTAGGAATTGTGCATCATTGAAAAGATTGATGGGTCAAATCTCCCGAATGCCCTTCGCAGCATGCCGACGCGCTGGTTGCCTCTTTTCGCAGCTACCTCAGCCAGTTGTGAAGAGTTTAGGCCGCTCTGTACGAGCCCACGAATGTCACGCTCCTGGGAGCTGGCCTGCAATCCGTTTGTCCCAAGTAAGTAGGTGTAGTTATGTCTATGGCGTAATTGTACAACGCGACATTTCTCTACGTTGAATGGTAGGGCATTTTGAACTGACCAGTTCGACACTGTGTTAAGATCACACTGGAGCTGTTCGTGGTCGTCCGGTCCTCTGATCCTTCGCTATATCTTGATATCATCAGCGAAAAATAGGAAATCGGAAGAAACTGAGTTCGCCAAATCGTTAATGAACATCAAGAATAGACGAGGTCCAAGAACCGAGCCTTGTGTTACTCCACACGCCACATCGAATGAATCAGACAATGATTCTCGGACTCTCACCACTAGCCGTCGTCCTTGTAGAAAATTGCTAATCCACCTCAGGATTGGGTCGTCAGTGCCGTCGTTCCGAAGCTTCTGAATGAGAATTCGATGGTCTGTGCCATCAAACGCTCTTGAAAAGTTCAGGTAGATGACATCGACGCATACTCCATCATCAACAGCTTCAGTCAAGCTATTACGTGCAATTAATGGGTTAGTATTACACGAATGCTTTTGACGAAAGCCGCGTTGCTCTAGAGCTATTAACTCGTGGCTTTCCAGATACTGCATCAGTGAATCTGCGATAATTGTTTCTAATAGAGATGTAAGCAGAGCTAAAGTTGGGTATCGACTGAGAATTGATCGGCCAGCAATTACCAGTCCGCGTAAAACGAATCGAACCATACCGTCAATGTGATAACCCCGGGGAGTGGAACTCACTCACACTGGCTGAAAACCGGACGCACAAAAATGAGCGATCTTGACCTCCTAAATTAGCATGTTTCAGCTACCTATAAATACAGTTAACTTATGGTGTAGATAGACTCCCTGTTTACCGAGCCTTGGTCTTCTGTATTCCGTCGGTTGGTTGGGCGCGTGACTGAGAAGTCAGACTGTCGCAGTCTCATAGGGTAGCTAGCAACGGTACAACAGTCGTCAGTGGCAGAGAGCAGAGGTAAGAAGAAGCGTTACAACAGTTTCCATCACTTTGGATAGTATAGGAAGTAGTGTTATTGGACGGTAGTTGGCAGGATCAGTGCAGCTACCTCCTTTATGGATAGGAGTGATGACCCCTATCTTCAATACTGGAGGAATACGATTCTCTTCTAGACATCGCTGATAGAAAACAGCCAGTGGTTCTGTTAGATCACTAGCTACCGTCTGCAGAGCCTTTGGTCGGATGTTGTCGGCTCCGGGAGAACTGTGGATACGCAAGGATAACAACTTCTTCAAGACAGCTACCGCAATGAAGGTGATGTTGTCTAATACCAGATAGTGGAGTATTAGAAATGAGGAGAATGTTTGGGCTCGTTAGCTGCTGGAAAGTTTGGGAGTAATGAAGCCGTAGGAGATCAGCTGCTTCCATTGCTGATCGCGTGCACCCATCAGCCGTGACGGGTGCTGGAACCCCCGCTTCACATTTCGAAGGCCGTTAACGTGCCTGTGCAGAAGTTTGCGGTTCGTGCAGAATCGCTTCATTAACTCCTGCTGATGAGTGACCTTGTCGTCGCGGATCAGTTTCACACAGAAGTTACGATGTG